AGGCTGCTGTGGAGAGGTTGAGGGGCAGAGTGGACCGTGGGTGGGGTGCCCGGGAACAACGGCAGGAAGTTCCAGGAAGCTAACATGAAAGGGAGGTGGACGGAAGAGTCAAGGGCCCAAACCTCACGAGGTAGCTCACAGTGGAGGCCCCTCTGGAATGCGTGGGTGCGCGTGGGTGAGTTGCGTCGTGCACACATGCGCTCTCCCCATTGAATTTCCTGGTTTCTTTCAACAGGACTCCCCGCCTCCCCACCTGTGGGCGTATACCCCCGCACCCCCCTATGTAAGTGGCTTCTCAGGGAGGGTCGGAAGGTTCTGTTTGTGGTTGAGGCAGGTGGGGTGGAAAGAGCACTGTGGGGGTATCACTGGCCTTGGTGAAAAATGAAGAAGGCGTCCTTTGTAGCTGAAGGGCTCAAAGATCCCAGTGATGTAGAAGATGGTGTGAGAGGAGCTTTCAGACCTTGAACAACTGTCATGTCATGTGAGCACATTGCACAGGCCCTTCCTCTTATTCCCGACCCCACGAGTCTTGTTGTGTTTGGCCAAAGTTCCTTTCTTTTTTTTTTTTTAAGAGCGGAGTTCTCGCTCTGGTCGGCCCAGGCTGGTTGCAGAGGTGCGGTTCGTGATGCGGCCGACGCAAGCTCCGCCTCCCCCGGGTTCACGGCCATATCCTGCCTCAGCCCCAAGCAGCTGGGACTACAGGTGCCGCGCACCACGCCCAGCTAATTTTTTGTTATTTTCAGTAGAGACGGCGTTTCACCGTGTTAGCCAGGATGGTCTCAATCTCCTGACTTCGTGATCTGCCCACCTCGGCCTCCCAGAGTGCTGGGATTACAGGCATGAGCCACCGCGCCCGGCCCAAAGTTCCTTTCGTGACACTAATCTAAGCCCATTAATTTGAGGAGCACTGGAAAGTTTTCCTTTGGCTTTTATGGAACGAAGTAAAGATATCACGGGCTTCCTCTCAGCTGACAGCCCAGATTCATGGGAACTGGTACAGTCTTCTCCTTTTGCATGGTGGGCTGCCCTGGCTGCCACTGGCTGACCCATGCCTCTCCTTCTGAAAGCTGATGCCTTTTGTCACCACCATTCTGGGAGGGCTGTACCCATCCAAGTCCGTCATCCTGTCGGGCATTGTCCTGCCCAGTGCTCAGAGGTAAGCCAAGGGCTCCAGTGACCTCTGGGAAGAGAGAGCCCTTCAAGGTCATTCCAGTCATTCCCTTGGCTTCAGGCAGGCTGTGGATGACAGGGAGGAAATGGGGCCCAGAACTCAGTGGACAAAGGTCCAGATGGGCCGCCCACCCCAGGTTCCACATCAACCTGTGCTCTGGGAGCCATAGCGCCTTCCACCTGAATCCCTGTTTTGATGAGAACGCTGTGGTCCGCAACACCCAGATCAACAGCTCTTGGGGGTCTAACAAGAGGGGCACAGCTGGGGAGAGAGGAGTGGGCAGTGAAGACGAAGCCCCACGCTCATTCCCCTCCCATCCCTCACGCAGCTCCACCCCAGTCCCAAGCCACCAGCTGTCCACTCCTGGTGTGAGGTGACCTCCTCAGCCCCTCCCCTCTGACCTTTAACCTCACTGTCACCTTGCACTCTGTACCAACCCTTCACCCCCTCCAGGAAAGCTAGTCTGATGGCATCCCACTGGCCTCCACCAACTGACCAGAGTGCTGTCTTCAGGGGACTGGCTCCTTTCCCAGTGTCTTTGAAATAGAAAAATGAAAATGCTTGTTGGCACATTCATGTGGGTTGACCGTGGCTTCCTTAACTCATTTGGAGACATTTTGGAGTCTGTGGAATTGGGCGGGGGTGCTGCTGGGAGGAGTGGGACGGGAGAGCATGGACTCCCTTTGGGCAGAGGGTCCTGACCTCACACCTCCTCCCAGAGGGTCCCTCGCAAATCCCAAGAGGGTGTTGGAGAAAGCAGGCTGGGGCTGTAGCCTTTTGGGCAGGAGTCTTGGACACAGGAAGGTTGCAATGGGGGACCCCAGGAAACAGCCCCATGCTTCCGAGATGGGAGAGGGGCTGGGGCAGAGCCTGTGAAGGCCACAGCAGGGCCAGAACTGGGCTCCTCAGACCTGGTGTCCCAGTGGGAGGAGGTGGCTTGGGGAAGGGGTGTCAGGAGAAGCCAACCCAAAGCACCGTTTAGGTGTGTGTTCCATTGTGGGTCTCCCTGGCATTAGGGGTTAGGGCTTGCGTGGGAAAAGTGGCTCTGTGCCCATGTGTGGGGTTCGGCCAGCCACTGGAAGCCCAGCTCTGCATCCAGCTGATGCCAACACATCCTGCTTGGCCCAGCAAGAATCCATTTCCTCAGGCCCCATAGACCAGCACAAGCTCCATCTGCTGCTGTCACACCTGGCAGCCATTTCAGAGGAGCCATGGCCTGCCTGGGGTGTTCCTCTGTGGAGGATCTGTCCAGGTTGTGACACCCACCAGCTCCCCACTCTGAGGGGAGCTTTCCCTACAAAACACCCACACACACATAGAGTGTGATTAAAATAAAATGCAATTCATATAAATATCTCCATCAAGGAATCATACAGGGAAGGCCCAAGTGGCCATAGGGAGCAGACTGGAGTATTAGTTTTTTAAATACCGAGGCATAAATAACTGTACACAAGGCAGTTAAATACACAGTGGCGCAACAGCACCTCCTGGTGGTCACATGAAGTGGTGCACTCAGCAACGGGTTCCATCTTTCACCCACTTGCCAGGTCTGGCATTGAAGCGTTGGTCTCCAAGGGACCAGGGAGGCCCCAGCTTGAGAGAGGAGGCTCCGATCAATCCAGGGTGCTACTTGGTAGGAGGTCAAGTAAAGGGCTTGATGGGGAACGAAGTGAGGAAATAAGACTTGAGGCTGGGGGATATCACTTTTCTCCATCTCCCCAGGCCCTGTGACCTCAGAGCTGGCTCCACGGTTAAGTTCTGTGTCAGCAGCTTTAACCCCTCCTGTGGGCCGTCAGAGGGCTTACATCGCCAGGATCCTGGGCTGCACTGCCGCCCCGTCCTTCTTCGCCTCGTAGGGAAATACAGCACCAAAGATATCTTCATGATAGCGCTTCTGGCTCTTTTAGGTGGAAACAGAGACCAACGTGTCAAGTCCAGGCTGGGAATGAGGCCCCCGGGGCTGCCCAGCTTCCTTCACGTGGACCTTCATAGAGCCATCTGTCTTCCCAACTGATCATAACTTAGGATCCGCTGTGCTGGAATCTGCGTTTGACCTAACCTAACTCTCAGCACCTGCTCTAGCCAGCCCTCGTAACCATCTTCCAAAGCTTATTGGCATTCCACTGTC